CCAACAGGGAAGTCACTTCTTGTGGTTCCTTTGTTCCCTGCCCTGCCCCTGGCCAGCTCTGTTATCACAGAATTCGGTCCACTCCCCCAAGCCCACATCTCCTACCTGAGCCCTCCACCTGGCTGGCTTGTCAGCTCACTAGTTATTCAACACGTTCACTTGGATGCCTAAAAGGCGTCCCAGACAAAAGATGTCTGAAGCACCACTTCTGGTCCCTTGGCTCCCCTGTATCCATGAAGGACACAGCCACCCACTGGCTGCTCATGCAACAAAACCCAATTCCTCTTTCCTCTTTACCTCCACTCATTCCTCCAGCTGGTCCTTTCTGTTCCACCTCCAAAATGCACCTCACACCTAACCCACTCCTATTTGGATACAGAACCCAGCCTAGATCCCCTCTGGCTAGATTGTGGCAGAGAGCCTGGACTTCAGGACATCCCACCCCTCACTCCCTTCTCATGCTGCAGCCTGCTGCAGCCTCCAGCCATACCCCACAGATACCCCAGACCCTTTCTGCACTGGGGTCTCAGCTCCTGTGTTCTCACCTGACTGGCTTGTCCCCGGCTCTTGCACAGCTAGCCTCTCCCTTATAATCTGGATAAGACCTGAACTGTTTGTGGTTCTTCAGAGACACTGAAGAGCCACCCGCGCCTTTAGCAACATCTTAAATGTTTCTCACACTATGCCAAATGTAGGAACCTCCCTATCTCAAGAAATCCAAGCAATTATCTGGGGCCAGAATCTGAATTATCGTCTGGTTTCATCTCCCATCATTTACCTGTTTTAGGAAAAAATGCAAACTTTATTCTGTAAGAGAAAAGTCATCCTTGGCTCCAAACACATGTCACATTTTATAGCTACAAAGAAGCAACTGTGGATTACCACATCCCCATTAACTTCTAAGCTTCTGGAAGGAAATCTGTACCCCTGACCCAGTGTACCTCCCTCTCTAGTTTATTCCAAGGGGTGTTCTCAAGCCTCAAGGGCTAGGCAGGACCTGCAGCACCAAGAGCAGTGTCTTCCTCTCTCCTTGATTAACTTTAGCCACTGACCACACTGAGAACCTTTCAACGTTGTTCTCCACTGACCACACTGAGAACCTTTCAACGTTGTTCTTGCTTAAAGTCAATGACAAGTCCCACTGCTCAACTGGGGGCAGTTTTCTGTCTGATGTGTTGGCCCAAGCCTCACTGGTCTCAACTTACCAGACCACACTGTCCAGCTTCAACGCTTCAGCTTACTGACTGACCATGGCATCTGATCAGACATCCCTCAATCCTGACTAAATAGACAGGAAACACCCAGAAAAGGAGAGTAAGAGGTGAAAAGGCCAAATTCAAAAGCAAGTTCAATGCGAAGATGGGATCTGTACAGCCCCTAAGGGTGGTCACTCTCAGGGGTCTTCTAAAGAATACTACAAAGATGACCAAACTCCCTGTGCCACAGCAACCTTGGTGGATGATGGTGTCACAGTCCAGTGGCACTCTGGCTCTGTATATACCGCTTCTGTGGCTGGCTGCTGCCTCCTCTCAGGGTGGGGATGATGGAGAAATGCTTGCAGACTTGTTCACTCAGCAGACACGGGGGCCTGAGACCAAGTGGGCCCACGCTGCCAGGAAAAAACTGTTGGCTTTCTTTCCCCTTTTCTAAACTGCAAAGTTGGCAGATTCTGTATCATGTGCCGGCCCACACTGGCTTTTGCTCAAATCTATACTCCAAAAATCCCTATTTTGTTTTGAAATCCTTTGGAATCACCTCAGAGGTTACTTGACCAGGTTACTCTCATACTTGTCCTTCTAAAAGGGCAGCCATGGAGAAGCATGTGTCACTATCTAGCTTGGGGCGGCCAATCTCTGGCCTAAAGAAGAGACAACAGTTTTACTTTCATTTTTTTTTTTTTTTTTTTT